AATCTTAACAGGGAGCTTCATGACTCTACACTGTTGATAATTTTAATATTCATCAAGAATGCACATTTTAAATTGTAAAATAAAATTTTTATAATAAAATATATATTTTTTCTAATTCTATCTTGTTACTCTCACACATGCTTTAAACCTAATAGGGAGAATGGGTGCTTCGAATCTTAACAGGGAGCTTCATGACTCTACACTGTAGATATCTTCAACTGTTTCAACACCTAAAAATCTCGAGGATGTTCCCTTGGGGAAAACACTTTGACGCTCAAGTTAGCAATATTTAATATTCTAGAGAGAGAAGTTCTCAAGGAGTAATTGCAGAGAGAGAAGTGTAGTAGAGTTAATGCCTTGAGTGGAGCTGATTGGGGGGTATTTATAGCCCCATGTGTTGACATGAGTCCATATGTGTATGCATCCGATTGGTTCACGTGTTATTACCCACGTGGGTATGTCTCTTCATTTTGGGCTTATAGATGTACGACTAGGCCTGTTGTACATGGCCCATATTGAATGTTGGGCCCCTTCCAAACATTACTCCCCCCTCAGTGTTCGGTTGACGAATGAGGTTGAATGTTCCCGTGGCCCAACGTTCAACTTGGAGAATAAGAGGTAACCATTTTTGGATTTTATGAACGACCTCGACCATGGCCGAACTGAAAGATTATGGCATAGGGTTCACACCCAAATGCTGAGGTTTGACTTAAACAAATTGTGATGTATCCAAGCTGAGTCCTAGGTGAGGAAGCCGTTAAAGAAAAGGTTATATCCGGGCGACCTGAACTCAGGGCGACCTCATCAGGCATCCATAGGTAGACCGAATTCTTGTCCAAACGTGTGTGGGCGAGCTGATGCCAAAGCATTCTTATTCGTGTGAATTCGGTGTACATCAACGACCTTAACGAGCTCACAAAGGCGAGCTGGTATGATAAATTTCCAACTTCCAAGTGGCGTAGGTTTGGGAAGAGATGAAATCCCTTGGTAAGGCGTGTGTCATATACGAGGTGTCACGCGTTATGTAGTGAGCTCGTCTAAACTAACGTGAAAGCGAGTAAACACCTGACGATCTGAACCATGACAACCTCTCGAAAATTTTAAAACAAAGTATTGAGGTCGCCATGCTATTACGAGAATTAGCTAAAGCAAAACAATCTCGACCCTCTATGGTCTGAGATCTCTGAGGGGATGTGATTATGAAGACGAGCTGAAGTGAGCGAGCTTAATCGTCATAATGAAGTAGATCCATGAGGTACAGAACAACTCTGAGGAAATTTGTTACGACCTGATCCTTCGGGATTTTTCAAAATTTAAACTGAGGCAAATCTCTGAAAAGATACGTTTGATATCCCTTTGCCTCTCTGCCTTCCTCGCAATAAATGCTGGCTCAACATTTGAAGAGATGTGACAGCTAAAGCTAACGGATGTTACATGCGAAGGCTTAAGTGGCTGCCATGTGTGGGGTTTTGAATGGCACGTCAGAGACACGCGTACGACAATTAAGGCTAGACAACTTGTTTAAGAAAAATGGCAGAGGAACAATCGCATAACCACTTTCTATTTGCTTTGCTCAGTATTCTCTGTCATTTTTTACAACGAAGCTTTTAAACCGTGAAGAGCACAACTCCAAAATCACAGACGCAGAAGAGTGTTATACATGTCAAATTCAGGTAAAAATGGAATTCTTTAAAGAACTTAGAGAACTTCGAGGTAACCAGGGTAAGGAAGAGGAAGAGGGTGTGATTTCAGTGGAACCCATTGCGATGATAGTACCGTTGAAACTGCAAGATTTGTTGGAAACTATTACGCTAGAGAGCAGCGCTAGCACCAGCACACATGGTGACTCTGTTGGTCACCATTCTGTAGCCTCTAAAGGCTCATCTTCAGAAGGGACACCTAGTGAGGCGAGAGATGAGGGAGAAGGTGTTAGTAGTCCTTTTATGGCGCTTATGGAGGTAGGGGCACCTGTGTTTGCGGAATGGGAGAGTAAAATTGTCAGTAGAAGGCTGAGCAATATTCGGAAAGCGCCAAAAGATTTGCCCATCGGATTCAAGTTCAGGGTGGCGCTACATCATGAGGTAGCAGCTAGTGCAGCTACCATTAAAGGGTACAAAAGATTGGAGGAAACGGTGAGAGTATCAAATCCCCAAAACAATTTTGATATGCACTGGCATGAAGAATGAAAGGGCGTGCTCAGTGTTTGGGACAGGATAGGTGCCAGTATACGTAGACCATTTTGACGCCGGTCTATGTTTTCCTCCGCCCGGGCTAATTTTTGATGTTTTGGCAGAGTACAAGATGGCCCTAACGCAACTGACCCCCAACAGCATAAAGTTCGTTATATGGTTTATGCTGTTCTGTGCGAGGTTGGAAATACCTGCAATGGTGATAGTTTTCAGGTCGCTATTCCTGTGTCGACTATGCCCTTCTACTAGTGAGACAAAGTGGTATTACATCTCCAAAAGGGAAGAGATCATGCTTTTTTCAAACATCAAGAACAAAGTGGCGAGGTGGAAGAGATAGTTCATTTTCGTTCGTGACACGTGGACTGAGAGGATGAATAACGAGCTCGCTGCCCGTGTTTCTGAGTGGCGTGTTCCAAACACGTATATGAACTATCCACAGCTGACCCCTCGTGATGTCAATCTGAAAAATCAGCTGTTGGATTATGTGAAGGCTAAGAGATTAGTGGCTTTAGAGGCCCTGGTTACCTCCGAGTAGCTCGCTGTGTTTGGGTTTGTCGACGTGGCAAATCAATATGCTGAAGGTATATTTCTATTGTATACTGTGAATTCTAGTCGATTTGAATCTTATGTATTTGTTTGTGCAAGAGAAATGAGCAATATACTTGAGAGGCAATGTCAACGAGCTCAAAGCTCATGAAATCGTGGGGCGGGGTCCAGCTAGCAAAGGTCGACTCGCTTTGATGAACGACCGCATGTTGCGCCATCTCGCAGCTCATCACAAAGAGAACGAGGTTTGAGCTTAGTGTCCAGATCCCAGGCCGAGCAAAGAGTACACCCTTAACCTTTAGATTCTCGAAGGTGAGCTTGCAATGACTCGGATGTAGAGGATAACATTCCACTCATTCTACAGAGGACGAGCTCAGGGGCTCAGCTTGTTCCAACTACTGTGACGCGGTCATCCAACATGCCACCTGCATCGGCACGTGATGTTGTTAAACCATCACCTGCCTCAACATCTATATTGGGGCCCAGAATTGCATACCTTGAAGGCTTCAGTTACATTAAGACTGACTGCCAGGCCGCCATGCCGCCATGGTGCAGGGTATGTAGAGTTTCGTTCCCCCTGCAGATCGACAGTGTGTGAAGAGGCACGTTCAACAGTATGGTGGCCATGCTGCTATGCTGAAACTAATGGACGTAAGTGTTCTTATCGAGTGTTTATATTATTTACTTTTTCAAGTTTATGTTAGAAATTAACAATTGAATTTATGTGGTAGGCGTTCAGCTACGCGGTCACACTCTTTGAGTGAGAGCAAGGGGCTAGTGCGCAAACTCGCGAACTCAACGACAATTGCAAACGGTTGACTTCTGAGAAGGCGAGCTTGGTAGATGAGGTCAACCAATTACAAAGCTCCAAGATGGCCAATTGGGCTACGTTAGTTGAAAGTCGAGCTGACGAGTTGGCCAACAAAAGGAATGAGCTGAAAGAGGAGCTGAAGAAAGCTCAAGCTGAGAGGGACAACGGCATCCAAGCTACCAAGGTTGAGGCCAAACGTGCTGAAGACCGTGTCAAAAGAGTAGAGGCTGATAGGGATAAGGCTCTGTCTGAGCTGAACTCCCTGAAGGAGAGGGTGGCTGAAGCAAACCAAAATCTGACCTAAGTTGAGGCGTCCCTTGAAAGGGTCAAGAAGTCTCCCTAGCACTTTGTTTGCATTGCATGAGCGCAAGGAGCAGAGTGGTTGGTGGGTTCTGAGATGTTTCAAGATGCCATGGCGGTAGCTTCAGCCAATACCACGATGAAGATCTATAATGAGATCCGTGGCAAGGTACTTCACCACTGGCCTGATTTTCCTATTGGCGAGCTGGCCTTCTTCGAGGGTGAAGAAATGGACTAGCAGGGCAAGAGTTTGGCTCCTCCTTCTGATACAACGATGCAATTGAAGTGGGAGCTTAATAAAGAAGGAGTGCCAATGTGGCCTCCATCCATTGTAGAAGAGGGGGATGATACTAAAGGCTTGCCTAGCTTTGATGCTTGGGTGGCAGAGCCCCTTGAAGCGGGGGCCGAACCATCAAGCACTCCACCATCCTCTCAGCCTGTTACCGCTCCAGCTTTTCACTCTCTAGCTTGTTCTACTCCGCTCAGACATCTCCTACTTGGGCTTTTGTTGTGCCAGCTAACGCGTCTATTCCTGTCGATCTGACGGACGATTAGTTTAGGGTTTATTTTTTCCTTTTGCATTTTTTGTATTGGTCATTTGACCCATCTGAACACTCATATTGTTATCTCTTGTACTACAATCGTGTAAATTTTGAACAGAAATACAAATTTGGAGATTTTATGAAATTTTTATATTTATTGAACTGTGTATACATTTCACATACTCTGAGTACATATGCTGATAACATAATAACATACATATTAACTATGATACTTTTTGAGGTTATGTATGTTTCAAGTAAATGGCAATTGACGACCTTGTAGATCTGCTAACAGATAAGACCCACGTCGTTTAATACAAATAACCATGTAAGAGCCTTCCGAGTTTGGAGCGAGCTTACAGATATGCGAATAAGCGTTAGTGAGCCCAGCTTTGTGTAAAACCAGGTCGCCGACTTGAAATTGACGAGCACGAACCCTTTTATTGTAAAATCGAGCAACACGACTCTGATAGATCATGGTTTTTATCCGAAAGATCTCCCTAACCTCCTCAACAAAGTCTAGGTTTTCTTTCAAGAGTTGCTCATTATCAGAATCATTATGACGAGCTGACCCGTTGGATGAAAAGCTAATTTGCACTAGGATTATTGCCTCAGCTCCATAAGCAAGGGAAAATGGGGTTTCACCAGTGGCCAAGCTGGGCGTGGTGTGGCATGACCATGGTACTTTGTTGAGCTTGTCAACCCAATTAAAGTGTGCTGTCAGGACACGTGTCTTAAGGCTGCGTAAAACGATTTTATTGGCTGACTCTGCTTGTTTGTTTGATTGTGGAGTGTATACAGAAGTGAGGGTCAGCTCAATGTTATAATCATCACAAAACGACCTAAGTGCTGCTGCTTGGAACTGGGGTCTGTTATCAGCAATTATTCGCTTAGGAATACAAAATCTGCACACAAACGCACTGATTGAGACAAAAACACTTGCGGATGTAATGCATATATGGTTTAAACCATTGATGAGTACCTGCACAATATGGAATTGAACAGAAATTCCTCTATTTTCCTCTCAGTTGTTGTGGACAGTGATTTGGCTTCTATCCACTTAGTGAAGTAATCCACAGCAACAATAAAATATGTGCAACCTCCCTTGCCCTTTGTAAAAGTACCGACAAATCAACTCCCCATTGAGCGAAGGGCCAGGTGATATGAGAGACAACAGCCTCTTTCTGGTGCCAAATGAGACATTCACGTTTAGCTTAGAGACAAACATAAAGTTTGTGCAAATTTTAGAACGAGCTCAGGTACTTGGCATGTGAATGTAATCAGCGTTGAACTGAGAGGTTGGATTTTTTTTGACATAATTTTGCGCATCCTCAACCATAGTAGACCAGTAGTACCCATGCCTTAGAATTTTCCAAGTTAGGGTTTTTCCTCCAATGTGTGTGCTACACACTCCTTCATGAACTTCCCTTACGGCATATTCAGCTTCATAAGGAGTAAGGCAACGTAACAAGGGCATCGAAGCTGCTTATTTACATAACTGATCGTCAATTAAAGTGAAATGTGCTGCCCTTCGTTTAATTAATCGAGCATCAATGGATCTTCAGGCAATTCACCGTTTTGCAAATAATTAATCAGGGGTGTAGTCCAGCTCGGTGAAAAGAGATCTGTACTTAGTACTTGGCACTTAACTGCTAGGTTAGTATAGCTCGGGGCATCAAGTACTTCGACAAATGTTGTCCTCTGAGGATTAATGTCTTGTGATGAGGCTAACTTCGATAACTCATCAGCTCGTCGATTATCCACCCTCGGTATCTTGTCAATCTGGAATGAGATAAAGCCTAATTTTAATCTACTGACCACAAAGGCATAACGACCGAGCTGAGGGTCTTTGATGTCATAGCTTCCATTTACTTGATTCACTACAAGTTGGGAGTCACTAAAGACTCTTATGCTTTTTGCTTTCAGCTCAGACGCTAACTTCAGACCATAAACGAGTGCTTCATATTCAGCAGCATTATTCATTGTTTGAAATTTGAATCTCAAGACATGCTCGGATTTGAAGCCATCTGGGCCCATTAATACTACCCCTGCCCTTGATCCTTCAACATTAGCGGCCCTATCTACGTACAAAGCCCATACCGGGTATGAAAGTAGGGCTTCCTCTACAGCTGTTGGATGGCATTCCACCAAAAAATTTGCTAGGGGTTGGCCCTTAATGGTTGTGCGCGATTGAAATTTTAGATTGTATTCACTTAGCTCGACCGCTCATCCAATTAGCCGACCAGAAAGTTCCTGCTTTTGCAATATCTTCCACAGTGGTAGATCGGTGTAAACAACAATCTCATGAGATTGGAAATACGCCCTTAACTTTCAGGCGGTGCAGACGAGTGCAAAAGCATCCTTTTCGACAATTGGATAATTCTGTTCAGTGCCCTGTAAAACTTTGGTTGTATAATAGATGGGTTGCTGATGTTTATCTTGCTCTCTTAACAAAATTGAGCTAACTGCCTCATTTGTAATCCCAAGATACAAGTATAACTTCTCTCATTCGACAAGCTTGGAAAGTAAGGGTGGTGATGCCAAGTATTGTTTGAGTTCATTGAAAGCCTGCTGGCATTCATCAGTCCACTGGAAGTTCTTGGGCTCTAGCAAAACTTTGAAGAACGGAAGGCTTTTTTCTACCGACCTAGGAATGAATATGTGCAGAGCAACGAGATGACCTGTTAAACGTTGTACATCTTTTATTATTTTAGGGGGTTCCATCTGCTGCACAGCCTCAACCTTGTCTGGGTTCACCTCAATCCTCTTCTTGGATACCACATACCCCAAGAATTTGCCCGATCTTACAGCAAAAGTACATTTTAACATATTTAACTTCATTTGCGCTTGGCGTAGATTCTGAAATGTTTCATTCAAGTCGCCAATATGATCTTCAGCTCATAGACTGGTGATAATCATACCATCAACATATATTTCAATATTCCTATCAATCTGAAGCTTAAAGACGACCTGAACTAACTTTGATATGTCGCGCCAGCATTCTTCAAACCAAATGGCATCATGACATAACAGTAGATTGCATCCCCTGCATAAAATGCCATTTTTTCTTGGTTGTCCAACCACAGCTGAACCTGATGATATCCCGAGCTGGCGCCAAGGAAGCTCATGCGTTCATGCCCAGCTGCTCACTTTACTAACTTCTCCACGTTAGGTAAGGGGTGCGAATCTTTGGGACATGCTTCATTCAAATTGGTGAAGTCAATGCACATTTTCCACTTGCCGTTAGGTTTCTTGACGAGCACAGGATTGGACATCCATTCAAAATATTCAACTTTCCTGATGAAGCCTGCCTGTAATAACTTCTATATTTCTTCATCTATAGTAGCTTACTTCTCAGGGCCAACAAGGTGACGCTTTTGAACCACTAGCTTCCTGGTGGGATTTGTACTGAGCTTGTGGACTACAAATTCTGTTGGAATGCCAGGCATTTCATCTGTTATCCAGGCAAACACATCCCGGTTAGCCTTTAAAAATTCTAGGAGCTCGATTCTTTCTTCCACTGTGAGTTTGGTTCCTAGTTTCATCGTTTTCTCCAGCTCATCAGGGTTCAAAGGGACAGTCTCTACTGATTCTACTAGCTTAGCCTTATGCTCCACATTCTCAGGTTAGTGATCTATGTCAGATATGCTCATCGTCTGTTGACCTGGCTGGCTCGGCCTGGAAACGTCTAAAATAGAGGTCTTGGGTGCTGCTGCGAGCTCGACCTTCCTAAATGTTCCTAATAACAGGTTCTAGCCATTTTTTGGTTCCTTTTGAGCACTTCTATACCCTGAGGAGTTGAGAACTTCACACAGAAGTGTGGTTGAGAGATGACAGTTTTCAATTCACAAAGTGTGGCTCTTCCGATTATGGCATTGAAAGCTCACTCGATTTTAACCACTAAAAAATTCACTGACGCCATCTTAAACCATGGTTCAACACCCACGTAGATGAGAAGTGTAATTACTCCCTCAATAAGGACGGGCTAATTGTTGAATCCGTAGATTGGTCCTCCATACTTCTTCAAGGAAGCTGGTTTAGCTGCATTTTTTGGAAACAACTCCAATAGAGGATGTCCGGAGAACTGCTCGTATCTATGAAGACCTTGTTAACGTTGTGATTGCCAATGTGAATTGTCGCCACAAAAGGGTCAGCGTGGGGCATCATAATGTCGGGTTCTCCCTTTAGCCGGTTGTAATTAGTCGGATTGAATGTAATGGGTGCATTTTCCTATTCTGCTTCCTCAAACGGTCATTTCAGGGGCCTGTTCTTGTCTACTGTCATCACCTGGCGAGCATAGGCTTTACGACCTCAGGTGCTCTGGCCTTCTAAATGCATGCGACCTGAAATCATGTTGATTGTGCCAGAAGGTGAAGGTATTCCGTCGTAATAGATCCCTCTATGGTTCTTTTGGTTCTGTACAGAGGTTTTCTGTCCTTTGTCTCAATCTGTTGAATGAGCGTCCTCTGTACATTTGGCCAGATTTAAAAGAGTATTGACTCCCCGGGTATGGATTTTGATTATTACCGAGCTGATACCCTTGCTCTTGAGATCGACCATATTCTTGCACAAAATGAGTTTGATTGGGTTGCTGGGCGAAGGGTTTCTGGATATATCCTTCCAATTTTCCATTGCAAGCTAAAAATTCTAGCTTGTCTTTCAAGTTCTGACAGTCTTCTGTGTTGTGACCATATCCACGGTGGAAGTCACAATATTTACTTCTATCAACTCGTGGGGAATCATGCATCAACGGAGGTGGTCTCTTGACCCAGTGTTGTATCTATGCCAAGATTTGAGACCTTGACGAGCTCAGCAGAATGTAATTGGCATATTTTGGAAAGGAAGGCGGCTTTCCTCTCTGCTCACGGACTTTTTACTTTTTCTTTTCTTCCCTCCCCCCTGGCTGTTTGTGCTCTTTACTCTATTTATCGTCAGCTCATTACTTGGATGATTGAAAGTCTTCTGACAATATGAAGCTCGTTGACCTGTCATTTACTTCGTTCCACGACTTCGGGGGATTTTCCAGGAGGTCGTCTAGGAACCGACCAGATTTGAGGCCATGCAGCAGGGCAGACAAACAGATGGTATCAAGGACATTATCAATGTCCAGGGTGTCCTTGTTAAAGCTCTGCATATAGTCTCTCAAGATTCTCCTTCCTTCTAGTGAACTTGCATTAACTCAGTAACAGTATGTTTTATCTCCCTCTAGCTCGCAAATTTGTTAGAGAATAAAGTGGCGAGCTAGGAGTACGAAGCTATGGAGTGTATGGGGAGCTTGTGGTATCATCTTCTAGCAGTAGATTTCAACGTTGCAAGGAACACTTTGCACATCATTGCATCAGTAGCATTTTGAATTTTCATGATGGCTTGATAAACGTGCAAGTGTTCGTCCGAGTTGCCAGAACCATCATATGTTTCTAAATGGGGAATTTTGAATCCCTCCTGATATGGTTCTGCTGTAATGGACAAGTTGAGAGGGGCACTGTCTAAATCCAAGGCTTGCTGACGTGACCTCAGACTTTTTAGCTCGTCAATAGACCTTTGTATATCTTTTAGTTGCTTCTCAAGTTCTGCGTTTTTCTTCATTAATTCATCACTGTGTTTGGATGAGCTGGGCTCTGGATTCAACCTTCCACTTCCCCTTGGCTTGGTTGGAACCACCACATTACCCAAGGCTGGGGAGTTACGGGTTGCAACTACTGTTGCTGGCTGCTCACCCCTATTCAACAGAGGAATTAGGGGGTCATCAGGGATCAGACAAGAGAGGATTTTTCCCATGGCCATTTTTAGAACTCTTGTTCTTTCTTCCAGCTCAATTGTCCGAGCAGATTCCATGGGTCTCTCAGGTCGTGAAGTATTTTGTCTGGAATGCCTTCGCCTGGTTTCCGCTGGGATGTGAAACTGTTCTTCGGGTTGGGTCACATACCTAGTAGGTGTTCGTTCATCGTCCGAATTATTTGATTGTTCTTGTTCTACCCCTCCCACAAAAAGGTTTCTCGACATTGGCCAGAAGTCGTTTAGGTTACTTTCCAAAGGCTGTGTATTATCCTAATCGTCCATGTTGCCTCTCGGGGGGCAGTTCCCTATAAAGGTACGTACCATTTTTAGATCAAGCTAATTAAACCACAGCACTTTTTGTTCAGTTTCCCACAGGCGACGCCAAATATTTGGGTAGTTTCACGATCCTACACTGTAGATATCTTCAACTGCTTTAACACCTGAAAATCCCGAGAATGTTTCCTCGAGGAAAACATTCCGACGCTCAAGTTAGCAATACTCAATGTTCTAGAAAGAAAAGTTCTCAAGGAGTAATTGCAGACAAAGAAGTGTAATGAAGTTAATATCTTGAGTGGAGGTGGTTGAAGAGTATTTATAGCCCCATGTGCTAACATGAGTCCATATGTGTATGCATCTGAATGGTTTACATGTTACTACCCACGTGGGTATATCTCTTCATTTTGGGTTTATGGATGTATGACTGTGCTTGTTGTACATGACCTAGATTGGATGTTGGGCCCTTTCCCAACAGAAGGAAAGATGGTGCACGGCCACGTCCACTCGGCCATCTGTGGACACGATGGGCTTCGACTGCAATAGTATTATTCTACATATAAATGTTTATTTTTATATAAATTAATTAAAAAATTTGTATTTCTTACACCCACAATTTGTGTCAAAGGCACAAACTAGATAAATTACTATTAAAATTTTCTTTTAATTTTTACCTATTTGTTAAGGGTAATATAAATAAAAGTAATGATATGCAAACTTTTATTTAAAACTTTTAAATTATTAAATGAATATATATAATATCATGCAGCCGGCCCTTCGGGCCACTTTTAAGGTGCAGTCCCCCTCCCCTTTGTGGGTTCGAAGTTTGAATTCCACCCTTATCACTTTGTTCAAAATATATATATATATATATATATA